TATGAAAAAGTAAAAGTTCAGTTATACAAAAAACACGCGCTTTTATGGGATTCAGCAGGAGATCTCACAAAAATAAATATTCCCTGATGTTTACAAACAACTTCAACATTTACAAATAGGTCAATCCACGTTTTTACGGATGCTTCTTGTAAAGCTTATAGTGCTATTGTTTATCAACAATGTTTACATGACACAGGGAAGTGACCTGTGTGATCATAAAATCAAAAGCCTCGAAAGTTGAAATTATTTGTTGTCAACCATGTTGGATTCAGACTGAACTAAAACAATTGAGATACATACCAACAAAAAATTATGAAGCCGATATTACTGATGAAGAACTCTATACGGGATTAACAGGTGCTAGGAGTTTAGTAAACTCTCGCCTATTAACGTATCAAGGTGCTGATATAAACGGTGATATTCCATTGACTCCGAATCATTTTTTGAGTGGACAAGTTGGAGGGCAACTCACATCTGATTCAGTTCGATCTAAAGGCTATCATCCTAAAAAACGTTGACGTCGAGTGTAAGAACTACTAAGTCATTGTTTGAAACGGTGAATGCGAGAATGGCTTCCATCTTAATCTAAGAGATATAAATGGAATCAATAATTATATCGCATTGGGTACATAAACTTTTGGGTTAAATGCTCTTCCGTGGTGCTGTGACAAAACCGTAAGGACTTTTTGAAGCACCTTAATTTCTTCAAAAATAAGCAAATGTGTGTGTGTTTACACACAATTAATATATAAAGACAAAACAATTTGATGTGTTTCCTTTCATATTTTGTATATTTTCTTTTTTATCATTATATTTTTATTTGAACTTTCATAATGGTAGCTAACCTACATTTTTTTATTCAAAAACTTTAATATTGTTAAATCTTTTCCTTTTGTTAAACTTAAATTTAATGATTTAATTTATAATTCTCCTGAGAACTTGGCAATAATTGGGCTCAATAAATACTTTTTTTCTTTTTATTAAAAAATTTTTTTTTCAAGTATTTGTTCAGATGATTTCTTTCTTTTCAAGAAAAATTTCAATACAAGTCTTGACGTCAATTTGAGTCAAATACGACGCCAATTTGACATCAATTTAAAAATACTGCCTTTTAGAGCAAGTTATTATTATTTAATTATTTTAAAGCTAGTTGTAGTATCTCAATGAAACAATGCTTTTTTCCAATAATAAGATAGTTAAACGAGTATTTGTAATAAAAAAATAAAAAATACAGCAGCATAAAACCACGACCACTTATCAAGCATTAGTTTTTTCATTTTGAAAAAAAAGATGAATGCTTACTTATAAAGAATTAATGACAATTAAGTAGGCATACCTTACTTTAGAGCTTTGGAAGACATATGTTGACGTACTATAAACACATGCTTTATTATTATTTTTTTTAATTTGTTATTTAGGTGCCCCAAGAAGTCCTAATGGTCTTGTCACAGAGCACCGCGAAAGTGCTTTTAACCAGGAAGTTCACGCCTCCTTCCTTACCGTGACGCGAAATATGTCCTAAGCTCGTTTCGAACCTGGGTCTCCTGCTTATAAAGCAAGCGCTCTAACCACTTTGTCACGGCAACACAATATGTTGACGTACTAGAGACGGGTCTAGAGAAGGGTGTTTTGTCTATTGAAAAAAGAAAAAAAATAAAACTATCTTGAACAAAAAGCTTTTGGTTTTGATTGTTCAAAACCAAGATTTGTCTGTATTTTTGAAAGCACATAACTAGCTGAACTTGTTAATGAAATTAATTATTTGATTTTAAAAGATTTTTGTGTTTTTAAAACAAAATGTCTACAAACAATAATTTCCTAAATTTCATCAAAATATCCAAAAAGGATACTAAGGTATTTAAAATTAATGTTACGGAATAAAATTAAATATTATTTTATAAAAATTGTGCAGTTTACATTACAATGCAGTTTATGTACGACTAAGTGCAATTAAAAATCAATAAAAAGACAATAAAAAATTAAAAAACTAAAAATCTTAAAAAAAACTAGATGCAATATTTCTTGATGCAACATTTCTAGATGCAACATTTCTTGATGCAACATTTCTGTAAAACTAAATGCTACAGGCTCGTAAAACTAAATGGAAATAACCAGATAAACCCAGTTAGCATAGTACATTTTTAAGACTTTTAAAAAACTTATTAAAACGGATTTTAACGCTTTTTAAACTTTATAAAAACGATCTGTGCTTACTGGGAACTAGATGTTAATCTATTTAGTTACGGTTCAGTTACATCAAGTAACTGCAAGTAGCAGCCGTGGCGCAGTGGTAGTGCACTTGCCTCAGAAACGTTAGATCCGTGGTTCAAACCCCACCTCTGGACAAGTTTTGCGACATCGGTTGGGAAGGAGGCGTGAACTTCCCATTAAATGCTCTTCAGTGGTGCTCTGTGATAAGACCGTAAGGACTTCTTGGGGCACCTTAATCAACTTAAAAAAAAAAAAAAAAAGTTACAAAAAGACCTTATACTTACTCGGATTCTTTTTAGCGTAATTTAGAGTTGATCTTGCGTAACAAGAAGCATCAAATTGGCTCAACCATCTGAATAATTAGAAAAAGCAGAATTTTTTGGTGTTTCTGGTATGACATTTTTTGTTGTTATTTCAGGTATGACATTTTTTTTTTGTTATTTCAGGTATAACATTTTTTTATTGTTTCAGGTATGACATTTTTTATATTTTGGTGTTTCAGGTATGACATTTTTTATTTTGATGTTAGAGGTATGACATTTTTTCTTTTTGGTGTTTCAGGTATGACATTTTTTTAGGCATTGCGCACCTTCAACGTAGATAAAGCGAATTAGTAAAACTCAAAATTTAAAAAAAAAATGAAATAAATTTAAATTTTTTTTTTAAATTAATACAACTTGTTCTGCTTGTATTTTCAAAAAATTTTTATGTTTATGCAATATTTAGGTCTTTTATAAAGTCTCTTTTCTTTAGGGTTTTGCTCAGTCGGTTTGCTTCAATTTTATTTAAATAAAATTTAAAAGTATCCATAATATGGACATGATTATAGACCATAAGAGCTAGAACCTTTACAAAGTGTTTAAGCCAATAATTTCCTAAAAACCTTTTCACTCAAATTTATAAGATTTTCCAATTAATAAGTAAAATTAAACAAAAAATTATATGCTGGCAGTAAAAGCTCTTTTTCTTCTATTTCCTTGAGGAATATTTTATTGTTTAAATGTCGTTGAAATAAATAAAGCACCAAGCAAAGACTACATTTTAAACATACCGTTAAAGAACTTGAGATTTCAACGGTCTGGAAATTAAAGCTGTAGTCAGGATTCCTTATTACACCACAATCATATCATATTAAATAAAATATAACATTAAATCTTAATAGGCATATTACATTTTAAATAAATTTTAAAAGTATGTCTGCAATCCATAGTAAGATTTTTGGTGATTTTCTTTAAACAATCTAACCGTTTATCTTCCAAACCAGATTTTTAACAGAAATATCTTGATTGTTTAAGCTAATAACCTACTACGGCAGTTTCTTGAAAAGCACCTTAATGAGCAACTATGAACTCTCCAAATTTAAGTTTTTATATGCTTATGTCAAATAAGAATGTTATGTAAAAATTTGCGGTGATTCGAGCCTGGGAGCGTAAGAAAAAAGCCAAAATGTTTACCACAACTACCCCAAATTTGAGGGCATTCATACAATAAAATATAAAATTTACTTACACTAAATTTAAACTCATTGAAAAGTTTTAATTTTCATTTAATAATATTTTAGTCTTTGAAAGTAATGACAGTGTAAAGTTTCTACCCTCCCCAAAATGAGGTGATTGTAAATTTTGCATCGTCATAACATTCATACAATAAAGGTTTATCAGATGAAATTAAAAGTCTGTCAACAAATTTAAATTTAGTTTATGTTAGTAATAAAAATTATTTATTAACTCGATGCCCTCAAATTTTGAGTATTTTTTTTTTTTTTTTATTTACTTGAGTTTTTATGCTATATTTTTCTATACAATGTTCTTATATCCGAAGATATTGTTGGCTTGGCATAGGAACAGCCACAAATAGTCATTAAGACTAATCCAAAGTAGCGTCCGTTATTGACCAACATTTTTGCGTACCGAAGTACTACACAATTCTACTGAATTTTTACGTAACACTGGCTTTTGACATAAGCATATTCAAATTTACGTTTGGGGAGTGCACAACCTTTAAAAACGTCATATCTGAAACATCAAAAAATCTTTCCGCTGGGCCTGACAAATGTTGCAAAGCTCTCATTTATAAAGAATAAATGATAGGATAATAAATAACATAATACTCAATAAAAATAATATAATATTAGAAAAGAACAAGTTAAACGATAAAGTTAAACGATAAAGTTAAACGATAAAGTTAAACAATAAAGACTTATTAAAAACGTAATCTGGAGACGTTTAAATTTTAACGAAGTGTTATTGTCAAAATAAAATTTGTAGTTGTTAAAGATTTTTATTCACAAAAATACATTAAAAATTTATATAACTTCTTAGTTTTTCTTTTATTATATTGGAATAATATCTTAAGAAACTAAACATATAAAATAAACAAGTTGAAAGAAAAAACACTGACTTCGTTTACACTGTAAAATTCGCAGCCATTAAGAAAAATATGTTCTCGTATCTGTTAATTTTTATTATTTTTAGCACAAATACGACTTTTTTTAAAAATATTTATTTACGTGCAGAGAAGAAGTGTAATTCTTTATTCTATTTTATTAAAAAAATTTGTATCAATAATTTAGGAATAGCATACCAAAAAACAAGTTCAGTTAGTTATATCTGCAGGCATTATTTATAACATTTGGCTACTTTACACCACAGTTTTGTTTTGGACAAACACTTGCAAAATGCAAATCCGTTACGTGTACGTAAACACGATTTTTTTTTAACGTAAAGCACGTTTATCATTAACAATTTATATCTGCATAATTAATCATAGTTTTTTAAAACCTTCTTTAGATAAATGAATCTCATTTGGGGTTTTCAGTTGTAAACCGTAAACAATTAATTTGGAAAAAAAAAATGTTTTTTGCGTCTATGAAATTAGGAGACAAATTAGCTGTACGAATAAAATCTTTATGTATGCTTCAAAACATTTGTCTATAAATTTTATACTTTTTTTTCATTTATTATTAGGTTGCACCACTTATCGGGTGCATTAGCGTTGCTGCTACCTTAGCTGTTGGATCTTGTATACGCGGATTAAGAGCTCCTGATGTGATGTAAGTAATGCTTTATGACTGCAGTTTAAAACTTTTTAAACGAACATTATTTGCTCAGTCTCAGAGTACACTAAATTTAATATGTATAAGAAAGGATTATAATAATTAAATCAACATTCAAAATATTGAAAAAGAACAAATAAGAAAAGTAGCCGAGACAAGTTTTTTTAATATTCATTAATCGTAATACAATATGACAATATAAACTTTGAATTTGAAAAAAGATCTTCAGATTTTTTTTTGTTAAAACCATATAAATATATATAAAAACATAAAAGGTCTAAATAAGAAATATAAGAATTAAAATATAAGAATTAAAATTGATCCAACTCTTTAATAATATAAAATTAAAATGAAAATAAAAAATTTACACGATTTTAATATTTCACAAAAATTTTAACATGGGTAACATATTAAAAGAAAAAGGTTTTTTTTTTTTTTTTACTTGGTTTTAAAAATGAAAAACAAAGAAAATTGAAAATAGATATTGAAAAATCAAAATCAGGTAAGACAATTCCATCCTATAGATAAGGTGTTTAATAATTTATACAGAACTAATTAACTATGTTTAATCAAAAGAATTTTAACAAGTTACTTTCTTAAAGTGTTCAAGTATTTATAAAAACACTTTTTTTCAATGTCTTGAATTTCATCCATATCCAATAAAACAATTTTTTTTTTGTTTTTTCATTATTGAATATATTTTTTTCAAATTTACGAACTAAAAAAAAAAAAAAGTATTAAAAAAAAAAAAAGTATTAAAAAAATGTAAGTATATTTTTAAATATTTAAAAAAGAGTCAGTATAATTAGGTAGTTAGATAAAACAGACTAATAAACTAGATAGAAAAAAACTATCCAGCTAGCACACTTACATTGGGCCAACATATGTAAAACCATCGCGAACGTCGGCTCTTTTTTCCAATGCAAAACCAACATTGATCCAATGTCATTTGGTTAATGATAAAATTATTACCGACGGAACTAAAAACATCTGGCAAATTTACATTGGTCCAATGTATGTTAAAACATCGAAAAAGTTTGATTGTTTTTACGATCTAAACCCAACGTTGGTCCAATGTATATATCTCGACATTGATTCAATGTATATAAATCAACGTTTTTCCAATGTATGTAAATACATCGCAAAAAGTTGATTGTTTTTACGAACTAAACCCAACGTTGATCCAATGTATGCGACCAAGCATTGCTATTGCGAAATTATATAACTTAAATAAATCTATCGTGATTATTAAAATATCAAGCCACAATCAACGCAAACATGATTTTTGTTTGGATGATCAAGCGTTGTCAACGTTACTTATTATATAATATTAATTATCAATATTATTTAACATTGTTGGATTCAAATTTATAAATAAATTTTTGGAAAGAACCTATTTCAACCTATTGCACCTCCTAACATCGAGTGCAATCCTGTCCACTTTCTTTATGCTATCTTTCTAACACGACTACTTCTGTCTTTCACTCTAACATATCTTCGTTCTTCCTAAACTCACTTAACTCTTGGTCCGTAGAGCGAGTTATGACGCTCCTTGGGGAGCCGAACCTGTCTTTGCGGGCCTTGGTAATGTGGCCTCTATATGGCAATTAGCTGGAGGAGGATAAACCACAATACCAATATTATTTAATATTAAGTAAAGAAAATGGAATTAAATGAAAATGTAAATTCCAAATAGTATTGAATACAACGTTTTGCCAATTAAAGTTCAACGTAGAAAATATAACCATTTTCCGACTTAAATAAACGTTTTATCAGCATTGGTTTTTAATTCTTGGCGACGGCGCATTTGTAACTATAATGATATAAAAACAATGTTGGCAGACGATGTTGGGCCAACGAAACGCGCGACATTGTTCTAATGTTTTAACAACGTATGTGTGCTAGCTGGGTACTTCTTTGTTTTTTATATTGAAAAATTTTAACGTGTGCCATCCATCCAGAAAGTATGTATTGTTGATATTTGCATTTTTAACTAACAATATTAAAGGATTTTAACAAACAGCATAGAAGCCATTTAATGTTTATAACCCCTCATTTTAGTGATTTAATAGCTCTCACATTTTGGCAAGACTCAAGTTTTAGATTTTGTATAACTTTTGTTTCCAGTCTTCAATCACTGTAATCTTTATGAGTTTATTATTAGGAATTTAAATTTATTTAGACAAAAAATTAAACAAAATTAAAAATTTATTTTAGAAAAACTTTAAAACTATATTTTAAAACTTTAAATAAAAATTAAAAAAAATTTATTAAATTTTAATACTTTAAGTAAAATTTAAAATAGATTAAATTTTAAAAACTTTAATTAAAATTTGAAATATATTAAATTTTAAAAATATAAGTAGATAAAGATTTATATATGTTAAACATGAAAACTCTAAATAAATAAAATTTGAAATACAATTAATTTTAACACTTTAAATAAATAAAAGCTAAAATATATTATTTTTTAAGTATTAATGAGTGAGTTTTTTGTAAAAATCGCAAAGAAATTATATATACATATATATTATAATAATTCAATGCATGTTAAAAAATAGTATTTAGAAACTTTTTTTTTCTAGAAAGCAGTGCGCATTTTTTAAGAATTCTTCTCCCTCCCCTATACTCCCTCATTTTATTTCTAGAATCGCCTCTGATAAATAGTTATTATATTTTACAACGTAACACTAATTTGGGAATTCATTTTAACAAATTTTCAGGTCAAATTCAAAATAGAATTTATTCAATTGTTTTTACCAGATTGTCACGTTCGCGAAACCCAACTCCATGGAACCAAATCTCTCCAACTCAACAAGTTAAGGTAAGTAAAAAATTCTTTTTCTAATTTCTAAATTTTCTAAATTTTAAAAAAAAAGATTATTTTTTTCAATTTGGAGAAAAAATTCAATAAATCAATATATAAATTAAATACTTGTATTGTCAGTATATTTATATATTTTCCTTATAACTTTATTTTAATTTTAAGATGTTTAGTCCTTACGATTACTCGAAACTTGAATCTGCAGTACCACCCGAGTCGCTTGAATCGTTGAAGTAAGTGTATCTAATTGAAGATAATATTCTATGATTTTGAAAAAGTATTCAAAAAATACATATTAAAATAAATATGATAAGTTTGTAAATACTATTTGTATTATAATATATATTATGAAATAATTATGTTGATTATTGTATTATAAGATTGATTTATTAAATGCAGAAACAATATGAATTATGAATATTTTAATAATTTAAATTATATAAATATATTATAATAATATAAACTATATAAATATATTATTATAGCATAAAAGGTTATTACAAGTATTTTAACAAAAAACTTTATTAATTTAAATTTTGTTTTTATTTTCTGTTTTCAATTCTGTAAACTTTATTATTCAACTTTTCTGTACTTCTTTAAGATAATCTTCCCACTCTAAGGTATGATTACTTATTAAGATTACTCCATTAATATAATCTGTCGACTCTAAGGTATGCAAACAATTAATTGCGACAACTAAGAATTTATACTCTGTATCTTTATTAATTAAATTTGAAATATAATTAAATTTTTACATTGCATAAAATATGTAATATCAATTAATTCAAAGTTTTAGTTTTGCACGAGCCATTAGTTCCCAACCACAATTTTAAGCTACTAAAATAGTGACTTAAACATGATATCTTTGAATTACTGAGTAGACATTTTCTTTTTCTATGGTGATGTTATATATATATATATATATATATATATATATATATATATATATATATATATATATATATATATATATATATATATATATATATATATATATATATATATATATATATATATATATATATATATATATATATATATATATATATATATATATATATATATATATATATATATATATATATAAAACTGTATGAGTACAATAATCTTTTTTTTAATTTCATAAACTCACCTCCCTATTGCTCCAATGACCACTTCAGCCAAGGGAACAACTCTTTTTTTAAAAATATTTTGTCTCAATCCTTAACATTACCATTTTTACTAACAAGTAACATTAACAACTAAAATTTTTACACAAATGCACTGTTTAAAGAAATAGATTAAGCGCAGTAATTTCAGCAGAGATAATTTGAACCCCAACCTTCTGGTTGAGAGCCAAATGTTTTACTACTATTCTACTAGCACATTTTAACTATAGTGCAAAAAGGGCCTCCATCAACTATAAATGATGTTAATTAATTGCACTAAATTAAAAACATGTTCAGAATATTTTTGACTAAAAAAAAATTACTGTAAAAATTATGACAACTGAGTTATTCAAAGTTGGTAAGACAATATAAATGCTGGAAACTAGTTATATAGTTAAACCTTCTAAGTTATTGTCAATTAGAATGACTATGAACACTTTTTAAATATTTTTGCATCATTGAAGAAAACTTTTAGCCTAATCACTACATTTTTTTTTATCAGAACATTATACTGTCCAGCTTCCTGGAAAAGTTATCGGCCTGATCAACTGGATTTAAGCAAAAAATGGATTTTTGCCTAAGCTTCGGTTGTTATTAAAATGTCTAAAATGAATTTGTTAAGAACCATTACAGTGTCTTCACCACCAGATTTTTTTTTTTTTTCTTGAAGATGTTTTACTGGCTCAGTTTTGCAATTGAATAATAAGTAATACATTATATAGCTCTATTGTGTGTGTTTCTTCCCCTTTGTGCAACTTGATACTGATGCTCATTTTCAACCTGCTGTTCATAGTCACCCCTGTTGGTGGTACATGTTGTAAACTTGTAGCTGATGCAAAATATTTGAAACCTGTCAAAAGACAGATGAGCACGAGTACCAATTTTACCAAGGAATCTTTGTCCTTGTGAAATGCTAACAAGTTTTCAACATGTTCTCTCATTGAATGAGCAAATATGTTGCAAACTTGCACATAACTTATTTTTTTTTTATGTTTTAAAGTTGTATGTACTTAATATAGATAAGTCTAGTAACCTGTAGGATTTTTTTTTGCCTGACAACTTTCCATTTCTAAACTGTAAATAAAGTTTAATAATTTTTATTTATAGCATTATGCTTGTGGCTTTGTACTGAAATTTGCAGTTAGTAACGTAAGCTTTAAAAAATAAAAGATCAAATACCAATATAAAATGACATATATAAAATGGTTGTTTGGAAATATAGACATTCGAGAGGAGAATAAAGAAACTAAATAACTAGTAATGCCTTGAAATTTAGTTAATAGAATGATTTTTATTTCCTTTATACGTATTTAACTAATTTAATATTTTAATACATATTTGAATAACATTTATAACAACTTGCTATATGTTTTAAAAAAATAATAGATATTCAACTTGCTACAAAAACAGATTGATCGGTTTTGGATATATTCTAAATTTCCATTATGTATATAAATACAGTGTTTACAAAAGTAGTTACAGCATAAAAGTTGCATTTGCTGATAATAAAGCATTTATAAGTGTTAAAATCAGAGTTATTAGTTGTAAAATAGGACATTTTAAAAAAAACCCAAATATATTTTGGGTTTTTTTGGATTTTATTGGGTTTTTTTAAAGTGGGTTTTTTTGGGTTGGGTTTTTTTGCCAACCCTGATATATATATATATATATATATATATATATATATATATATATATATATATATATATATATATATATATATATATATATATATATATATATACATATATATATACATATATATATATATATATATATATATATATATATATATATATATATATATATATATATATATATATATATATATATATATATATATATATATATATATATATATATATATATATATATATATATATGACCGTCGAGAGGGGTGTGTGCATGGGGAAAATTAACAGGGCCCCAAGTGTATACACTTTTTTTTTCACAAGGTCTTATTTATTCATCATTTATTAATCTTATTTATCACTTGCAAAAAATCTTAAAGATAAAAATTATGTGATTTTTCAGCATAATATGCTTCTTTCGTAAAATTAAAATTCGAATTTTTACTATCGACGTTGCACAGTGGAGTATTTGATCAATTTTTAGAAATATTTTTAATCTATTATTGAAAAAATTTGATTTTTTGGGAGAGGCAAGTAGAAATTGAAATAAAAAGATAAAAAAAAAATTTTTTTTATAATATATGGACGATATAACCTTTTTTTTAACATTTTGCTATAATGCATAAAATAAGAATAAACCTATTTTACCTGGTGGAAAATTGAATTATTTTTATCCTAACTTTCAATTTGCATTGAAATTGAAACCTTAGTTTAGTGTTGTTTTAAAGAATCGGGAAGCACTTCTAATTGCTATATAACTTTTATTTGGGAATGGCAAAAGCTATGGAAAATATTAAAAAGAATAAGCAAAATGTTTATTTGGAGTATTTTATATTTGAACCCAAAATAACTACCATTAAAAAAGACACTATTTAAGTAGCCGGATGATGTCAAAAGCTAAAGTTCTTCATCTGAAGATATCTCTGTTTGCTTTGAAGATTTGTCATCTGAGTCAGCAATATCAGTAAGGTTTGAAGGTTTAGCTGGAAGTAGCATCTCCAAAGTTTCCTTTAAAAATGGTTTAGTGTTTTTTTTGGTACTTTCTCATGCAAGTTAAAACAGGATCTGAGCTAAGTAATAATTTATTAAGCACTTTAAAGTTACAAGATTCTCTGAAAAACTTTCTTGCACTGTTTTGACTTCTTCGGATAGTTGACCAATCAGGTCCGACGACACGGGTTTCAAAGTGGAGGGGCACAATCATCAATTTTTTCAAAAAAGTACTCTACTCCTAGAATTTTCTTTGAAAAAAAAAAGGTCCTTCAGTGGGAGGGGCACGTGTTCCCCACCACCTACCGGGGTCGTTGGCTGTACCAATAAGAAGCAAAGCATGCTATATTACAATAAAACCATGAATAAGAATTTTATGCATTGTAGAGGTCATCGGATAGAATGAATATATATCGACATATAATTCCGCAGTTTTTACGATACATTTCCTAAATTTTTCAACATCAATTTTATGTTTGCTTGATATTGTTTCCAATATTACTTTAAGACGATATATTAGGTTATAACCAATACATAGTAGTTCAGGTGCCAACTTTGGGTCGGCAAAAAATCGTCGGCTAGTGTTGCCACCATTTGAGTTACCAAAACAAGGCTTAGGCCTACAATTAAACAAATTTTTTTTCTAAAATTTGATTTTATGGTTATGATTTTAGGTCTACAATTAAATAAATTTTTTTTCTAAAATTTGATTTTATGGTTATGATTTTAGGTCTACAATTAAATAAATTTTTTTTCTAAAATTTGATTTTATGGTTGGTCTACAATTAAATAAATTTTTTTTAGGCTTAGGCCTACAATTAAACAAATTTTTTTTCTAAAATTTGATTTTATGGTTATGATTTTAGGTCTACAATTAAATAAATTTTTTTTCTAAAATTTGATTTTATGGTTATGATTTTAGGTCTACAATTAAACAATTTTTTTTTTCTAAAATTTGATTTTATTCTAGTTTACTTTGCTTGACAAAGCCTTTTTCGTTTTCTGATTTCACTTGCCATTTTCAAATAGGCAATTTACAGGATAGCTGCAATAAATTTTCAAATATTCGGATCCTGGCATGCACAATTAATAACCCAAACTTTAATGTATCTGGTTTGACTTTTTATTTTATTGTCTACTTATTAAAATCTTTTTCTGTTGCACCACAAATGTATCATCTCATAGTTTAAGTTGTTTGAGTGGCTGCATTACACACCTTAGCATCAACTATACTAATAAGATAATTCATTTTTTAATAAAGTTTATCTCTTAATTTGTTATATCATTAGATTCTTTTACAAATCTAGTTCTTATAAGGGCGAAAATAACGTGGTGATTTTTGCCAGATCAATTTTTTGTCTTCCGTATAAGTAAATTGAAGCGGTACAAAAGAATTCTGAAATATACTTGCATCAGAATCAGCATCAATCAGAAGTTTCTGTTTATATTGATTTTACTGTGATCCGACACAACCCCATTTACAACTTAATACTAATTTTGTACCACTTCTTCT